CCAGGCGGACCCCCGGGTGCCGAGCGGGCTGTGTGCCTGGAGCCCAGTTCCAACCCCAGCCACCCTTCCAGTCAGTTCCTGCTCCTGACTCTTTGGGCCGTTTTTTTTAAAACGAAAGCAAGAAGCAAAGAGTCCTGAAGGTAACGGCGGGAAGGTAGCAGAAGCTCCGTGTGACCTTCAAGCGTGGCCCTATTTTGAGCAAAGGGGGCTCAGTTAGGCCTCAGCTTCTCTGGAGATCGGCGTTCCTGCTCCCATGTATTTTCATGGTTTAGCGCCAGGGTGGCGTTTGAAGCTGGGAGACAGGGACCAGTGTGGCTGGGGCACCGGCCTCTCCTTATTCCCACCCCTCTTGCCTCTCTGAGCCTCGGTTTCCCATCTGCGCATTGGGAAGCGTGGACTGGCTCCCCCGGGCCCTGAGGCTGGTGCTTTGGGCCCAGCTGTATGGGTAGCTCTTCCCCAGGGAAGCAAGCCAGGGCGGCCCTGTGATCTCTCCTGACACATTAGGAAACTGAGGCTGCCTCCTCCCAGCCCTGGATTCAGGAAGCAGCTGGCAAAAATGATAGTTGCTTAGGATGCCTCCTACACAGCGGGAGTAACAGGAATGGAATGGCACAGGGTGATTTCTCCGTCTCCCAGCCTCTGTGGAGGTTGGGTGGTGAGGAGTTTCCTTCCTTCACTGGCCTCTGGACTAACCATCTTCTCTCATCCCTCCTCTCTCCCTGCAGCTGAAGGCAGATGTTGTCCCAAAGACAGCAGGTAAGAGAGGGGCAAGGCCAGGTGGGTGGGCTGGCAGGAGGGGTCTGGGCAAGCAGACCCAGGATCAGATGGGAGTTCCATGTGGGGCTCAGCCACTGTGCACCCTGGGGCAACCTGCAGTCCCTCTTGGGGCTCAGTGTTGGCCCTGCCCACCTGTCTGGTAGCAGCCTCAGTATCAATAGAGGGCACATGTAAATTTCCCTGGGACAACTTCCTCCCACGTGGTGTCCAGTGTGACGGGCTGGTGGCTCACAGCCTTGAACTCCCTACCCCGCTGGCCTGGTGCTGGAACAGCGAGGATTGTTTGCTCTGCCACTGAGGTCAGAGAAGGAGATGACATGTCCCAGGTCCCAGCCAGAGCAGAATTGGGGCGGGCTAGGGTCTTCCATGCCCTGCTCACCTGGGGGGTTCGAGGGGATGCTGGGTGGAAAGAAGTACCACCCTTGGGGCTGAGTTGAGGCCTGGCCTGCTGACTGACTGTCCCTTGCACCCTCAGAGAACTTCCGGGCCCTGTGTACCGGGACAGTCAGAGCAGAATTGGGGCGGGTTAGGGTCTTCCATGCCCTGCTCGCCTGGGGGGTTCGAGGGGATGCTGGGTGGAAGGAAGTACCACCCTTGGGGCTGAGTTTAGGCCTGGCCTGCTGACTGACTCTCCCTTTTGCACCCTCAGAGAACTTCCGGGCCCTGTGTACCGGGGAGAAGGGCTTTGGCTACAAAGGCTCCACGTTTCACAGAGTGATTCCGTCCTTCATGTGCCAGGTACTGTGGCCTCGCTGCTCAGGGGCCTCTGTAAGGGGACAGTGGGGGCCACTTCACAGCAGTGTTCTGAGGGGTGATGGGTGAGCATGTGCCTGGTGCTTGGAAAGTTCCCAATGGAGGGCAACTGTAATTACTCTCCTGGCCTCTCACCCTGGGAGGCTGGAACCTGTCTGCGCTGCCACAGCCCTTCCTGCCCCAGAAGTTAAGCAACAGGGCAAGTGGCCGGGTGGCCCTGCCCAGCTGCGTTGGGAAAGTTGAGCCTGTGGAGGGAGCACTGGCATTGGGTATGGACGTGCGTGGAGGTGGATCTTAAGGCTTAGAGGACTAGTGTACAAAGTCTGAGGTGCCTCTGTGTGTCACGGAGCCCGTGGCATGGGAGAATAGGAAGAGGAAGAGGAGGAGGGAGAGCACGAACAGGAACGTGCAGGTCTGGGCTTGGAGCTTCCATTTCTAGAGAAGAGCATCTCTCGGTTGGATGAATGTGTTGTTTAGTCATGTGTCCTGCCCGTTTGTCAGAGGCGTTAGCCCATTTGTCAGAGGCGTTAGTATTGCTGAGTCAGGTTTTAGGGTAGCTGTCGACAGCAAGAACTTCCTAGGGGTCAGGACCTGTGCTTCCTTGGGGATTGTCCTCTGTTGGGTCAGACCCTTCTAGGGCAGGGGACTGGGTCCTGAACCAGCAAACCCAGAGGTAGGGTAATCCTATGGTAGTGAGTGGCATTGGGTTGGAGCTGGGCTTGCTAATGTGATAAATGCCACAGGAGGGGCAGAGAGGCTGTGGCGTGGGACAGGCTTGGCCAGGCCCTGTAGCTTTCTGCTTCAGAGGCTCCCAGGAGCTGCGGTGGGTGTCCCGAGCCGGGCTAGTGTCTTCCTCTGAACAGCGGCAGACAAGGCGGGGACTTGCAAAGCTGGAGGCTCTCGGAGGCCCGAGGAGGCCCCACCGCAGGGCCCAGGCCAAGGTTTAGAATCATCCCTCCTTGGGGACACCTTATTGGCATTCGTGGGTGCTGCAGGTGGGCTGCCCAGGTTACCCCTGTGACCTGAGAAGATCCCTTCTCGGGAAAATGGCAGCAAGCCCTGAGGAGGGGACCCATCCCTGCAAAGGCAGAGGGGAGCCAGGGAAAGACTGGGACAGGGAGGGGCTCAGCATGGGGACCGACTCTGTGCCAGCTGTTGCTCCCCACATTCCAGACCTGGGATCAGGCCCCTGGACACCTCCCTGTTTATCCTCTAAGTTGTGGGTAGAAAAGTCTGGGTCAGTAAGAATCCTGTCCTTGGTTGTTAAATCCTTGAGGGTCATTTAAAAACTTGCTCAGACAAAAAGTGAGTCATTCAGAGACCAGGATAGTTATTGTCAAAAAATATTGAAGCTTATTTTACTTTTGCTTATTTTCCTTATTATTTTATTAGTCCTTATATAATTGGATGTTTTTTGACCCCTTTGCCTAAAGGCTTCCAGCGGGGTGGGCCTGGTGGGTGGGTGGTTTCTGGCGGGGGGGTGGTGGCTGGTGAGCGAGGGGCTCCCCAGCGCTGCAGCAGTGTCCCCCTGCCGTCTGGCAGCCACTCAGAAAGTGCTCTGTGCTACAGGCTGGCGACTTCACCAACCACAACGGCACAGGGGGGAAGTCCATCTACGGAAGCCGCTTTCCCGATGAGAACTTCACACTGAAGCACGTGGGGCCAGGTGAGTGGGGGCCGCGTTCCCTGGTCCGAGTGCCCAAGCTTTGACCCCGCCTCTGGCGTGCCGGGCAGGCCTGGAGGCTGCAGTGTGAGCCCTGACAGCTCTGTCCCATCATGCGCCTTCTTCCTTCAGTGCTCAGTGTGTTGGGTTTGCCTGCAGCTTTTTCCTTCTGAGCTCTCCATTTAAAAACCAACTAGCCTTTGGGAACCTGGTTAGGGGGAGAGCCTTCTAGCCAAACCTCAGCATTGTGTCGGCTTTAAGGCCCACGGTGCAGGGTGAGAAGCCCAGAGTCGGTGCGTCCTGCCCTGGCTCTAGCTGAGAGCTTCCCAGCCCTCTCCTTCCTCTCGAGGGCGGCCTGGAGCTGCTCGTCCTCGGGGCCTGGTCCTCTTCTGACTCAAGTGTCCTTGGTGTCGTTTGAGCCATCTGCTCTTTCGAGTGACACCCCAGGTGAGATGCCTCCTGGGGCAGCGTGGCTCACCCCTGCCTGTTTCTCAGGTGTCCTGTCCATGGCAAACGCAGGCCCCAACACCAACGGCTCCCAGTTCTTCATTTGCACCATCAAGACAGACTGGTGAGTTCCCGCTCCCGGCTCCAAGCATGGGGGGCAGCCTTGCAGCTGGAGGAGGGGTTGTGCGCTTTGGGAGGAAGGTAGTTTGGGGCTAGACTGTCTGCTTTGGGCCAGCAGCCCTCCCGGGGCTGTGCCTCTGTATGAGAGAAAGAGGAAGTTCCTGAGAGGATTGAGGGAGAATATGGGTAGTTCTTGCAACTCTTGCGGTCAGCTGGGATTTTCTCAGTGTGTTTTGCACACACATACAGAGTACATTTGGGAAGTGCTGCGGAACATATCAGACCTCGTGGCCTGTCCTAGAAGCCGTCTCCTGTTTGCCTGGTGTAAGCTGTTGTTTCCCAGGCTTATCTGGACCGTGGAGTGCACTTGGGAACTGTTGTAGCAGGCTTATGGGTGTTAACCCATTTTCATCAGGCATGAGCAGAGGCCTGCAGGCAGCCCAGCCCCTTTCCCACATGCCCATGGATTTTAGGGATGTCTTCCCAGCAAGGGATGCGTTTCTCTGCCAAAGACCCTTGTGTCCCAGCCCTGGGGGCTAAGACTTACTAAAGCCCATTCCTGAGGACTCTGGGGAGACCTGGGTGAGGGTAGATACTAGTTGTCTCCAGCCTCCAAGCCAGAAGGGCCGGTTGTCGGGCTGGGCAGGCAGTTGCTCGCTCCACCTGCTCTTGGCTCGGAACCCTTCCTGGGCCCTGCAGTTCTGCCCTTGGCTGACAAGCCGGGGCCCTGCTGGTGCTGGACGAAGCTGCATTTTAGATTCTTGGAACTCTGTCAGGTTGAGGACTGCTCAGGACTCAGTCTCACACACTTGCTATCTGGGCTCTCCCCTCATGACTTAAAATAGTTCCATTTACACAGACCTTTTATTCCTTTCGAGTGGTTCACTATCCTGAGCAGAGCAAGAATAACTCCCTTTTCCTGGGTGAGGTTACCAGGCCCGGGCACACAGTGGAGCCCTGGGGGAGGCATCCTTCGCTCTACTCGGGGAGCTCAGCAAGGCTCGATTGATAGCGGGAGCGTTGGGGGGCGGCTCCCACTTTGTGTGCGTCCCTTTCAGAACGGCTGTTCTGGTAGCTAGTGCCATGAGCAGTGACTGTGATGTTGGCTGACATTGCACTCCTCTTGCTTCTGTCCACCTGGCTCACCTGTCCTCACAGGTTGGATGGCAAACATGTTGTGTTTGGCCACGTCAAAGAGGGCATGGATGTTGTGAAGAAAATAGAATCCTATGGCTCCAAGAGCGGGAAGACATCCAAGAAGATTGTCATCACGGACTGCGGCCAGTTGAGCTAACCCCTGTGGCCAGGGTGCTAGGCCCGCAGCAGCTGCACCTGGGAGCCGACTCACCAGGTGGCTGCCTCGGGCTCCCGGTGGAGGCTCCCGCAGAGGTGCCTGTGCTTGCTCCATCGCCATGTGCTTGAGGGAGGCATCTCGGATGTCAGAGCTCCCCCGGCCCCCCAGGCTGCTTCCTCAGTGCCCGCCCTTCTTCAGGACCCTGTCTGGGCCCCCGTTGTGGACATCATGTCACTGCTCCTCATCAGGCATCGGTTGTGGCTGTCTAGCCCGAGTACACACGTGCCTTGGACATTGCGGGGTGGTGATGGGTTCTGATTTCTGCCTTTTCCTTGATCAAGGGGGAAAGCCAGATGCTGCAAAAAAGAGGCTGTGAATGTCTGTAATGATATCTTCCTAATAGGAATAATTTAGTTAACAAGACTACCTGGAGATGAAGCTGTGACACTAACGACTCCATGCTGTGAGGTGGCCCCGGCCACAGACCTCCAGCGCGTGGCCTCTGGGACGCAGCCAGGGCTTCTCTGAAGGGTCTCATGGCCCAGGCCTGGCCCAGCCCCCGGGAATCCCGGCGTCTTGTTGCTGTTTCTGAGAGTCTGTGGGGCAGAAGCAGATGAACCTGGGAACCAGGCCATTGTGAGCTGAGCCTAGTCAATGTGAATGCCTGGGTGGAAACTGAAAACGGCCCACGAGTACCGTGGGCTCTGGGAGAAAGTAAATGTGTGTTTCCTGGTGGGCTTTGGTTTTTCTGTATTTAATAATCAGTAATTTGAATCTACTGATGATGTGTAGACTTCAGGGACATGTATTTGTGATCTCCTTAAATGTGAAAATAAACCCTATTTTCTATAAAGATTGGTGTGTGTGACCGCCTTTACTGAGTGACCCTGTGTCTGCTGCTGTGCTGAGGGCGTTTCCGTGGACTGTCAGTCACCCCAGCCACCATGAGGGTGTACTGCCCTCCTGTTTTACAGGTGAGGGAATGGGCTCAGACATCAGCACCCACAGCCTTTCCAGGAGCACTGCTTCCACCCAGCATGCCAGCTGCCATTGGTGACAAACTCAGTTTTGCTCAGCTCACAGGGGAACAGTAGCGCTCACCTCACCGGGTGAGGGTCTGATGGATGCATGCAGAGCATGGCACAGTGCCTGGCACATCTTAGCAAGCACTTGGAGAGGCAAGGATGGTACTTCTGTGTGTCAGGATTTTAGAGGGAGAAGGCTCCATCTAAGGTTAGGCATGGACTTCACTATCCGAGATGTGCCGTTTACATTTGGAATAGTTTCTAGGTGTTTCTGAATCCACAGGGAAGGCAGACTAGGGGTTAAGAGGAGACTAAGAGCGTCCCTCATCAGCCAGCTATGGCACAGTCCACACAATGGAATAATCACATTGTATTCACAGTGGGAATGGAATTGTTTCACACTGGGGTTCCCGGGTCAGATTATGTGTGGTCACGTGTCCTTATAATCACCTTGAGGTCAGTGGCTGGATTGAGTCACTGGGAGGAGGGGGCTGTGAGTCAGGTTTCGTGGCGTCACAGGTTGACATGGTCACTGGAGTCATGGCTGGATTGGGTCATGTGGTGTCATGGAGAGTTTCCATGAAGTCAGAGTTCAGCTGCATGGGTTGGGAGCTCAGCCTACCCAGCAGTTTTTAAACAATGAGAGCCTTAGGGGTTCTCAAAGTAGAACAGCGGGGAGAGAAGAGGGGCTCCTGAACCCCATTTTCAACCAGGCTCCCCCCAATTTTTTCTTATTGGGGCTCTGCAAGGAATTTCATTTGAATAATAGAAATTTGAGCTGAATAATAATAATTGGCAATTGCTCACCCAGTCCCACCAACCAGGTTCCCCCCAATTTTTTCTTATTGGGGCTCCGCAAGGAATTTCATTTGAATAATGGAAATTTGAGCGAATAATAATAATTGGCAATTGCTCACCCAGTCCCACATTTTACAGATGGGTAAACTGAGGACACGAGTCATGATTGCCCAAGGGGAGCCTGTGAATCCCCAGGCAGAGCAGGGGCTGGGAGGCCAGGTTCAGTCAGGGGCTTTTCAGAATGCACAGGCCTCTGTCCTCAGGTCACACACATCTGAGGTCACAGCTTCAGTCCCTGCAGTTTCCCTTGACCCCCAGGGACTAGGGAGGCAGAGATGCTGTTGACAAGTTTGAGGAGTGCCCGCCCCTTGATGTGGGACCTGCTGGTCTGTGGTGATTTCTGAGGTGGTCTCGGTGTGTGGTGTGTCCATCCAGAGGGCTCTGAGGTATGGGGACAGGGCCAGTATGCAGGGATTTCCTAAAACAGTTTCCTGAAAATGGGGCCATTTACAGCAGCTCCCTTCCCAGCACCCTGCACAGGAGCCGGAGCCTGGTCTTATATGAGCAGAAGCCTAAGTGATAACACAGGCAAGACACTGACTTATTGCTGGCGTGAGTCCCTTAGGCATGAAGGGGCAGTGAGTCATGCACATGCTATCAGAAATTAATCACGTGGTGCCGTGTAGACACGTGTAAATATCTGGAATCACATTTTTCTCAGACACTTCACAATGACTTCACTGAGGGATTGTTTGCATACAGTAAACTTTACACATTTTAAGTGTATAGTCGATGACTTTTGAGGAATTCATACACGAAGGAACCACCACTCAAATTATAGGACATTTCCATTCTCCAGAAAGTAACCTTCCTGTCCCTCCGAGGCAGCTACTGCACTAGAGATTAATTTTGCCTGTCCTAGGACTTTTTTATCAATGGAATCATACAAGCTTTACTTTTCGTGTCTAACTTCCTTGTGTAGCAGGGGTGAGAACACGGAGAATTTCAGAGCCTCTGGGCTCTGTGAGATGCTGGGCTGGGATGAGCAATGTCCACCGATGTTTCTCGGGCTGGTAAGGCCTAGGCAAAGCTCCCAGAATCGCAGGGGCTGGTGGAGAATGCAGATCCCCCGGCCGCCCCTGACACCTGCTGAATACAGGTTTCTAGGGTGGCACCTAGGAATCTGAATTTTAAAATAATAATTCTGCTAAAGCGGGAATATGTGCGTGTAGGCCAGAGAGGCAAGATTGAAAGGGAGGTCATGGCTCACCGTTCGAGTCCTTGTTTACTTCTGGGCACATACTTGCTGGATGCTCTGTGGGTCTGAGTGAGACCCTCCACTTATAAAGATGCCTCACCTGAGGAGTCACCACTCTCGGGTGGAGGCAGCTGTGCTCTCCATAGACCAAGGGCAGCTGCCGCTGCCTCCCCGTGGCCGCCTGTGAGGGAGGAGAGTCCCACGGTGGCGCCTCAGCTGCTCCTTTGCCATCACGGAGGAGGGTCTGGCTTGGGTGGGCCCATGATGGAGGGAATTTCTCAGTGAGTGAGAAACAGGCACCAGAAGTCAGATCCATGTTCCAAGTCCACTGGAACGGGGTAGGTAGAGAAAGTCTGGGTTCCACACTGCACCCCAGATCTGCCTCAGCTTTTAGAATCACGATGCTAGTGTTATTATTTACTGTTATATTGTAATGGTTAACCTGGCTGGCCACGGGGTGCCCAGACACCTAGGCGGGTATTATTCTGGTTGTGTGTGAGGGTGTTTCTGGGGGAAATTAAAATCTGCAGTAAGCAGGCTGCCCTCCCTAATGTGGGTGGACTTCAACCAGGCAGTCGGCCGTGAGGAGGAAAAGGGGAATTCCTCCTTCCGAGCTGGGACAGGAGCAGCTTTCTCCTTCGGACTCCCACTGAAGCATCAGGTCTTCTTCCTGGGTCCTGGGCCTGCTGACTTTTGGACCTGAAGTTACCCCACGGGCCCTCTTGGTTCTCAGTCCTCTGGACGTGGATGGAACTTACACCACTGGTCCTGGCTCTCAACTTACCGACTGCAGGTCCTGGGACTTCTCCCCATAATTGCATGAGCCAATTTCTTACAGTAATTCATTCATATTCATTCTCTCTCTCTCTCTCTCTCTCTCTCTCTCTCTCTCTCTCCACCCTATTGGTTCTATTTCTCTGAAAAACCCTGGCTGATACACATATACTCATTTCTCCTACTCATAAACCAAAATGCACTTGTAAAAATTCAGATGTTACATAAATAAGTAATATAGACAATTAAATGACCTATAGCCCTATCATATTAGTAATTGGTATGGGTATCTGCATTTGCTTAGGAGGTAGAAATCTGCAAAAACCATCATTCCTCCCCAACAAGAAGAGAAGGCTGAATAAGTTACAAAGTCATAACTTTTTGAGTTCCTCAGAAAGGCAACCAGGTGACCTGAGTCCCAAAGAGGAACAAAGCCCTGGAGGGAGAGACGGGACACGGGGAAGATGTGGCCACGGCACAAGCGGGTAAGATGAAGTCAGGTGGAATTTTAATGAATTGCTAAAGGCAAATGGGCTGGTGTGTCCGTCTGAAATAGCTGGGGCTCCCCACGGGTTCACTCGCTGGCCAGGTCTCCCGTGGGCTCATGCGATGCTCAGGAGAAAGGCTGGGCATGGGGGAGGGCCTGCCTTGGAGCGTAGGCCGTGGCGGTTTCAGCTCCTGGAGAAAGACATGAAGCCGTGCTCACTCCCCAGGTTCTCCTCTCCTATGAAGCAAAATCCCTAATCCCCTGGGGAGGACAGTGGTCCCTTCACCCCTGAAAGAAGTAAAAGCCAACTGTGGCTGGGGACAAGGTAGAATAAAGAATTATACCCTCGGGGAGGGGCGAGGGAACATCCAGGGCCCAAGAGCCTATACTGATACCAACCAGAAACCAGCTGCCACTGGGGAAAGGGCAAATGCCCACTGAGGACATGCCTCAGACTGAGGCTGGACCAGGGCCACACCCCAGCCTGGTCTGCTCGGGGGGAAGGAAAGGCACAGAGTGATACCTTCTGTACTGCAGAAAGCTGCAAGTGGAGGCCAAACACTGAGAAAAACCCTCAGCACCCCAGCCCCACCCCAAGCACCGGCAGCAGTTGCCCACACCATAGGCATTTGCACCTGTGGGACTCCGAAGGTAAGGACACCAGCACCAAAACTCAAGCCCAGCTCAACTCCTGACAATCAACCCAATGCCCCACAGGAAAGACCTGAAGCAAGTAACAGCACACCCACTTTCCAGTGTGGATACTATATCGCTCTCTTCTATTGCACAGCAATGTTCAATATTTAATAAAAAAACTAAAAGTCACTAAAGAGAAAGGGAAAAAATAGTCAATAAGTAAGGCAATCAACATAATCAGACTCAGATATAACCCTGCCAGCTAGGGACGTTAAAATAAGTATGATTAATATGTTAAAGGATCTAGTGGGGAACGTGCATGAACAGATGGGGAATCATTTTAGCCAAGAGAAATGATAAGAAAGAGTCAAATGGAGATGCTATGAAAAAAAAGGATACCCAAAATGAAGAATTCCTTGATGAACTCAACAGTAAAACTCAGCACTGCTGAGGGCTATGTCAGTGATTGCCCAAAGGATTATAGATATAACACCAAAGAGCAGTCAAGAAAAGAAAAATTAGATAAGTTGGAATTCACCAACATCAAAATTTAAAATGTCTGTGCTTCAGAGGACACCATAAAGAAAGTGGAAAACACCCCACACGATGGGAGAAGATAATTGCTGTGGTGGGATGTAAGGTGGCCCAGCCTGGCAGTTCCTCAAATGATTAGACATAAAATTAACACGACCCAGAAATTCCACTCCTGGGAATATACCCAAGAGAAATGAAAACATGTCCACATGGAAACTTGCACACAAATGTTTATTGTAGCGTTCTTGATAATGGCCACAAAATGGAAACAACCCAAATGTTCATGGTGAAAAGGTGAACCCACAAAATGTGGCATAGCCATCCAGTGGAATATTATCCTATA